GACTACTTCTATCACTTATTATACAAGGAGTAAGGATTCTTTCACTATCACAGAATACATTATTAGTTAGAAGGAAGTTCCCGCCAACGATAATATTCTTCTAATGAACCTTAATTCCGTGATGGTAAGGCCAGTCACTATTAAATTTCGAAGATTTATCAGAATAAACTGAATGAAAATGCTGTTTTTTTCAATTGACAGTTGAAGAAACAGCTTTTTATTACTACATACAGTTTTTTATACCCCGGTGATATTTTTTTTTGGCAGAATCAGGCAGGGCATTACTTACTCGTATTTGACCGCAATCTCACCTCTCTACTGGCACGTGTTCGAGCGCGTTAAGTGAGTTGCAGTCTAGGATGGTAGGTTCTTCTCTGAAGTGCCTATTTACTCTCGCCTTGAAAACGCCGGTTTATAGTGTTCGGCAAAGACATCCACAGGCAGCGAATTCCTGTATCATTGTGTAGGCACTTGTTCAAAACAAATAGGGTTTATTTCAATCAATATCAACATTGTGCAAAAGATTCAACAACGCTGTACTGGCGATAACGAGCCTGCAGGCTTTGGTTGCAGTAGATTAGCGATGCGTTTCGCTAATTGGATTCGCTCGTGTCAAAGCAGCGTTATCGAGTACTGCGACAACAATGGGATTTTGTATCTACCACAGGTAGAAAATATGTATTTTTGAAGGATTAAAGTACAGTAGCCTAGCATGAAATCTGTATTTTTGAGTCTAAAGCACATTGGCCCCAGCCGGTATGAAATAGATCTATTTACGAGCATAGCTGGGCACCGTTAATCAAATAGTTAACTTCGTTAATCGTTAAACCGTTAATAAAAAAATTAACTTCGTTAAACGTTAAAACGTTACATTACGCAAGATTTAACGCAAGTTAACGTTAATCGTTAATCCGTTAACACTTGATAATAAAAGGAAAAAAGTAGGTGTATGTATCGCAGTCGGATTGTATAATCCGCCGTTTTACATTACCACTAGGCATTTTACATTACAGCTCTGTTTTGTAATACGGCGGTTCAACGTTTAGGCGGATTGTCATTGCGATACGTTCTTCAATACGGCGGCCCACGTTTAGCCGCATCGTACTACTATTTAGATTGTAGGGTGACCATACTTACAAAATAAAACAATGTTTAATGTAAATAAATTTTAATACGAAAGATTTCTTCTCACGATATTCCTTAGTGATTAAGTAAGAATTATTATCTTCGTTACTGTAAGTAATACTAAATAATATATTTGGCTTCAGTAATTTTTTTGTATGTTTATAAATCACAAGGACAGCCATCTCAAAACAAATAAACTTTTTTTGAAAGTTAATAATATAATGAAAGATTTGGATTTAGTCATTTTTAAACATAATGAGTAATCACAAGGTACAAACATCTTAAAATAAAAGATATCTCAAAATCTTCACCGGCCACTGTCATAATATCATACTTTTTGCACCAATAATATTGAGTAGGATTCCGCCGAACACCAGAATCCATAGCCACTTTAGCGGTTTTGATGTGGGCTATAACCTCCAAAACTCGGTCCCTTGTCCACGGTTTTTTGACTGTTCCACATTGTGAAGAATAGAAATTCTTCAATTGCAAGTTAAAATTGTTCTTAAACTCACTGTCGACACACATATTTATAACGTTTTCTTTATTCGATTCAGAAATAATTCCGTAATTTAGCAACACATTTTCTGCATCCGACGCCATTGTTGTTGTTATGTCAGGCAGCGCCACGGTATTGAAAATGGGAACTAAAAACTGTCAAAGCGGCGGGTAATGACACGCTGTTTTACATTACGGCTAGCCGTATTGAAGAACGTTTGGCGCCGAATACATTCCGGCGGATTTTCATTCAGCCGTATTCAATCCGCCTAAACGTTGAACCGCCGTATTACAAAACAGAGCTGTAATGTAAAATGCCTAGTGGTAATGTAAAACGGCGGATTATACAATCCGACTGCGACATATGCAAGGTTGTATCTAAGCTTGTATCGCGCATGGAATTTATTCCTCTTTTATGTTTGCGCTACAAGCTTTCGAAATTATTTGAACATTTCGGAATAAAAGCTTGTTTTTAATTATTACTAGCGGCCGCCCGCGACTTCGTACGCGTGGATCCCATTTTACCCCCCTTCGTCTATCTTACGCGATTTAGATTTTTTCATACAAATGTTTTTTCCCGCTAACTGCCGTTCCTGTGGGAATTTTGCAATTTCTTGTTGTAACTAAGCTTTAAGTTTACTAAGGTACCTACATGCCAAATTTCAAGCGTCTACTAACTTAAGCGGTTTAGATTTTTCATACAAAAGGATTTTTCCGCTTATTCCTGTTCCCGTTGGAATTCCTAAGTATACTATAACCTGCCCAGGAGAGAATAATTTTACCAAGTTTCGTTAAAATCCGTCGATTAGTTTTTGTTTTTATAAGGAACATACAGATGGACAGACAGACAGACAAAAATTTTACTGATTGCATTTTTGGCATCAGTATCGATCACTAATCACCCCTGATAGTTATTTTGAAAATATATTTCATGTACAGAATTGACCTCTCTACAGATTTATTATAAGTAGGTACCTATATAGATAATTTTATTTTACACTTTTTAGTAGTATTTAAATCTCAGAGCCTTGGTTCAATTACAATACAATTTAGCACCAAAGTGCTCGAAAAGACAAATCCAGCAAACCCAAACTCGATAAGTTACCACCGTTTCGTTTAGGAATTCCTATGGCCACCTCCTGACTCCATCATCAGGACCCTGGACATCATCTAGTACTAAAGTGCTCGAAAAGACAAATCCAACGAACCCAAATTCGATACGATGCCGCCGTTTTATTTAGGAGTTCCTATGGCCACCTCATGACTCAATCATCAGACAAGCTCAATGGTACCATAACATTGCATTGTCATCGTACTTACATAAGTATACCAAATTTCAGCTCAATCGGTTGAGAAAAACTGGTCTTAAATTCAGTTGCAAGAGTTGTCCCACACATACTAACAAGTGTCGTTAGTGATCTGGTTATAAAAACTGTTGTTTTGGGTTCTGGAAGTTCTGGAAGCCCGAACGTACTTGTCAGAACGCGTTTTTCTAGCGTTTTTCAGCGTGCCTGCTGTCTTTTTGGTAAATAGTAGGTACTGGATTAACGATTAACGGACTTAGGATAATTTAACGGAAGTTAACGAGTCCGTTAACATTTCTTAAAGTTAACTTAAAAGTTAATCCGTTAATAGAAATGTTAACTTCGTTAATTAACGATTAACGGATTAACGAGTTAATGCCCAGTTTACGAGTAAAAACCCGAATAACTCTTTCTGTCTGTTTCAACTATAAAGTCTAAACCACTGAACCAATTTCGATGAAATTTGGCAAAAAGATAGATTGGACCTTGGAAAAGGACACAGGCAAAGTCGCGTGAACGAGCCAGTAAAATATAATGTCCTTGTTTGTATTCAAGTGCGAAGCAGGAATGTCTCATACATCATCTTGAATACGACATTCTTCAGATATTGACTTGTAAAGCTTCTACTTTTGCATTCTAGAAAGATCTGACCTCCAACTCGGAAAACTCTAGTGACCAAAGTCATTTCAAATCGATTTTGCTCCAACCTCACATAGTAATGCGTTCTAAAGTTCCGTGCATTATGTTCAAGCGAAGTTTGGATGACTTCACGTTTTTAAACTAAATTTGAATCTTCTCAAGCAAACTTGTTTCTGAAGACATGGTGTAGAAAAGCAATGCTGCTGCAAAGCTTATGATATTTTGTATTTTACTTCTTATAATAGCTGTATGTACAGACAAATATACGTACTTAGTGCATATAAAAGCAGATTATTGTCGTAGTGGAGAGGTGCGGGTGGGGTAACGTATGACGTAAAATAGCTGTCAGTGATAGTCACGGTTAATCTGAAGCACAACATGAAGTTTTGTCAATGTTTGACAAAATTAAAACACATCCTCCAGTACCGCTACACTATCACAGGAATTTGGGTTCCTTGGGTTGAAGCAACATTAACCCAATAGTGTCGATTGTCTGACTGGTGAAATCGAGATCCGAGGAACGCGGGATCGAACCCTGCCGCCGCCGGACTATTGTGGTAAATCCACATGTAACACGAGCATAATATTTTGCTTACCACCAGGGGTTATGTGCCCCACTTAGTTATGTACTTTGTCTGTAGTAGTCATATGATTGACACACTTAGTAGCTAAAGTTGTAGTATTGTGTACACGAGCATATTTATCTTGCCACGAGGGGTAAATAAAAGCCACTTAGTTAAACTCTGTCTGTAGTAGTCATATGACACACTTTAGCTCTGTTTGTCCCGTTCAGACCCTAAGCAAACATTATTAGAAGTCTGTACAGCGCCGTACCCTGTTATTGTGTGGAAGAATCCTTACGAAGAGTTCGGGATTTGTTTAATCTAAAGGAGTAGGGACAAACTTATAAACTTGTACTAACGCGTTAGGTGTTAGGGCTTCGCTTTATATTCGTGTTTGTATTAAGTACTTAGTTTTCAAGCTACATGTTTCCAGAATTGAAGCTTAGTTGTTAATTATTTGTCAGAATTTTTGGAGTTTGTCACGAGGCATTTCAATTCGCTGCAGTTTTGGTTTGATAGAAGTATGATATGTTTATTGCAAGCAATAATTTACGTAAGGTACCTACCTACCTACGAGTACCTGTGTCTTTTTCTTTATTTTACTCCAAACCACTAATATTCATTGAACATCATCATTTCAGCCATAGCATGTCTACTGCTTGACAATAGTATTTTAATGAGTATTGACTGAACATGGACTGAACATAGGCCTCCCTCAATGATTTTATATTAGCCGGTTGGAAAAGACCTGCATCCAGCAGCTTCCTTCAATATTTATGAGATCTTCTGGACAGATGTGACAGCAGATGTTATAAAGGTACCTGGTATCTTACTGATATCTGATTAATATTCAGTTTTCTTTCTTTCCCAGGTCAGCCCGTGTGGGGAAGACTTCCCTCGTGTCCAGGTTCCTGGGCAACAAGTTTGAGGACAGCTACACGCCGACCATCGAGGACTTCCATCGGAAGCTGTACCGCATCAGAGGGGAGGTGTACCAACTGGATCTGCTAGACACATCTGGGAACCACCCCTTTCCTGCGATGAGGCGACTGTCTTTTCTTACAGGTGAGATTCTTAAGATAGACGATGATGGCTGAGATGATGATGATGATGATCATCATCATCATCATCTCAGCCATAGGACGTCCACTGCTGAACATAGGCCTCCCCCAATGCTTTCTATGTTGCCTGGTTGGTAGCGGTCTGGTAGATAGACATTATTTATGTAAATTCAAGAATCTTCTATCGTCTTTTTCTTAAAGTCAAACGCAAACGGCAGTAGCGCTGCAACTGCGCTTCTAGAAATTGTATGAAAACTACAACACGATCGAATTAACTGCGTACCTCGCTGGAATGCGATTCTCCGTCCCACTCCACCTTCCCGCGTTCGCCCGTCCGTACCAGAGCATCGATGTGACGTCACGTCTGCCAGGTGCGTAGTTAACTCAACCAGTTTGTAGTAGTGACGCGGCAAGCACGCCACTGTGGCGCCACTGCAGCGCCTCCCACCTCTCTAACTTGAAGGCGGCCTTATTTTCTTCGCCGATTTCACACAAAGGGATGATTTAAGAAGGTGCTTATGACAGGCTTTTATTACAAGTCAATTTTTCTTGGTATGAAGATTTTGTGTTGGTAAATACTTATACTTTTCTCAGGAATTCTATTTTTAGATAAGTATCGGTTTGTATTTTGAATATTGCGAAATATTTTCTGACAAAGGTAGAAAAAACATGATGTTTTCTAGGAAATATTACGCGTGTCGTGTATATTTTGTAGTAAAATCTCAATGTTAACCCATTAACATCTCGCATGTCTGTTTAAATGAGAATAAAATTGTGCGCCTCTCCAGCAGATGTGGTACATTCTGCCTTATTTAATGGCAATAGAGCTCGTAATCGAATGACGGCGATGGCTTGCATCCCATCGAAGAGAGAGCGATTGCGGGTATGTAAATAATCTCATTTTCTACCAATTCCGAGTGCGTTTTATGTGAGCCGCGAGTAACAAGGTTTTACTGATGTATTACTTATCCAAATACCATGTTTAGGGCGATCCAATATTATAATTTACCTCGTTATAATAAGGTGTTAAAAATCTACTAGTATGTGTACCTGCAATAAGTAAGATTCTTGGAATGCTGGTCGAGTTTCAGTGGAATCTGAAACAGCTTTACCACCCTGTTACAAAATGTCAAGTTCTTTCAATTTCTTTGCATAAATTCGTCACTTACTTAAATTACTTAAGAAATACATTTTGCTAAAATGAGAGTGATCTTAATTTGTAGTTGAGATTAAATACTACTTCAACTTTGAACCCCAAAATTACATCAACCGATATAAATTGAATTACCAACATTGGTCATGTAAACAGAGAGAAAACTCACAATCGCAACGGTGTTTACAAATAAATATTAAACTTTCAGCGACCTCGGGCTATTGGCGGATTAAATAACAGTTGCAAAATAACCGTTAAGGTTTAGGTCACACAGAAGTGTGGTGCTGTAACAAATCTTGATAATACTTTAATACAGTTTAGAGTAGCGTAAATTAATAGTAGTGTATTAACTATTGTAGCAATAAGCACGTATTTGGCCAAAATTACATCTTATGTTCAATTTATATAGAAAGTTGTTTGAAAAGTAAATTACCTTTATATTCTTTCTTACCTTAAAGATACCCAGAACATTAAAATAATATGGCATTGGATTAGATAGGCCAGACAGTGAGTTCCAGTCTTTAGTTTTTGAAATGTACAAGGGCTAGCAAAATGATTTTTTGCATTGAGCTAAGATTTTGATTCAATAAAATGTCTAATCGATTTTTTTGTAAAGCAAACTGGACCTGTTGGTCAAAAAGTGAATGCTTTCAGACACGCGTCTGAACTGAGTCATCTTTAACTACATAAACATAAAGAGTTCTTCTGATAAAACCCTTTCAGCAATGTCTGTATTAAAACATCAAAATGTATGGCGATTTTGAGAGCTTTTATTGAAGCTCGCGTAGTTTGCTTAAAACACGATAAGCTTTTCAAAGTTCCCACAAATAAAAGTACTGGCTGAAAACCTGAAAGCTGAATGGTTCTCGTACAAAAGTAATTAAAAATCCCGACATTCGGCTGCTATGTAACGCCTGTGTCAACTGCAGGCGGCTCTGATAATGGCGCGGTTTCCATTCTTCCTGCTCTGTCGACATTCTTTTTGAATTGAAAAATCTGAAATACAGTAGCGGCACGAGGGAATGTACCTACGCCCTCTTAATTTTCTCCTTTTCCTAGTAGAGGGAATAGAATACAAACATGATAACAAAAGATGAGGTATTTATTCGGCACATTTAGGGTCGCTTTACCAGTTCCTGAAAAAGTTCAAAATATCTGACATACCGTCCTTTAACAAATACTTAAAGGATGCCAATTACCGGGGTTCTACAGTCAGACATTTCTATTCGACGACGGACTTGTGAAAAGTTGTCGATAAGTTATCAAGGTAGGCTGTCATTATTAAATGTGAAACTTAGCTATGAGTAAGCATTGAAGATTCTTTTCCTGCTATAGTTTCAACATTAGCAGGAAGTCCATTTATTTTATTTTATCTAATTTAAAACGTGAGCGCCGCTGTATCATCCAGCAGAAAAACTTTAATCCAAGGGTCGTTAGCAGGAACACCTAAAGTGCACTTCTTTTTACTACCATTAGAGATTTTACGATCGAACTTTATTAACTTTTGTTGATCTACTCTAGTGCATTGTACATTTTTAAAAGGTACAAAGGTACCTTTCGATAAAAATTCTAATATCAAAAGACTACTTAAATAATAAATAAATAAATAAATAAATATCCTTGGACATTTTACACTGCGCTTAATATCCTAAATAAGGCCCATACTTATAACATTTTTTCTTTAGGTGACATTTTATTTATTTTTGTAGGTTACCCTTTGTTGTTTAGGCTGAGTTGCACCACCTAACTTTAACGATAACCGGTGCTTTTTGTATGGAGTTTGACAGATTTTTGACGTTTGTCAAAGTTAAATTAAAATGGTGCAACACAGCCTTAGACTTCGTTAATATAACAGCGCTATTCGCAAACTAGTTCCCAAGAATGTAGTTATAACCAAACAAGGTTAGTTTGGTACAATCGACTCTCTACTTACAGGCACCCAAATCCCGTACTGTTGGGAAACAATGTTGTTTGCAACTGTCAAAGTTGCGAGTCGACAAGCTCGCAACAAATCAGCAACTAATTCGCAAAGCGAGAAACTAATAAAAGTTGACCGACATTTTTAATTAACGTGCATGCAGTAGTTCTGTATTTGATAGAGGATTTAGGCGAATGAGGTTAGAATATTGAGGTTTTAATAAACGACAATTTAAAACTTGATTCAAACTCAATCACAGACTTGGATCTTTTCTTAAGTAAAGATTGAAACTCGAATACGTCACGTATAGGTACAGAATGAGTCTCAAATAAGTTTAGAAGTGACATTTACATTTTTTGATAATATCTTACTAATATCAGGCCTGTACATCTCCGCGAGTTTACATCGAAAACAAAACACGCACGATTGCCCCCTACAAGAGTACTATTCGACAAGGCCTCACATACGAGCGAACATTGACTCACGCACGCGTATTCTTGTGTATGATGGAAAAAAATAAAGAAAATGATGTACTAAATACTGTGCAGTATTTAACTGCCTAAATAATAATAAAAACACAGAATGTACTTTTTTAAGTTGCCTCAAGACACTGAGAGGTAAATAAGTAGTTAATATTATTCATGATAATTCATGCTAAATCATGTATTTTCTCCGCCATTTTCTGCAGATTGGCACCTCACGTCACATCATTTTACCGAAGTCAGCCCTATAGCTTCGGCGCAGTACCGATCACTGACGTTTGTCAACAAAACTTCTGACAAACTTGCTTGACTCTTGAGACAAGCTAAATTACACCATATTGTTAATGACATTAAGCATACATTTTTTAAATACCTTCGCGATGTAAAATTTCTGTACGTAGTACTTATTATTATTCTGTGCTATTATTATAAACGTGAAAGTTTGTATGGATATCTGGATGTCAACATGTTTGTTACTCTTTTACTCAAAAACTACTGAACGGATGTTGATGAAACTTTGTAGTATTATTGTTTATAACCCAGAATAACATATAGGCAATAATAGGCATATATGACGATCTGTGATAAAATAAATTTGACGCGGGTGAAGTCGCAGGCAACAGCTATTGTTTTTATACACTCCTAGTTTTCATAAGTTTAGACATTACCTACTCCACTCCGTAACGCCAGAGTAACGCTCATATAAGTACAGTCCATTCCGTAATAAGTAATCATGAAATCATGATTATTAAAATCGGTATTTTAAGCCATCATTTATTTATTTATTTGCGTCATTATGGCAATCTCAAATGACGCAATCGGATTATCAGCTTAATGTGCTTTAAACTCGTAGTTACGTTCACGATTGCTTTCCTTTGCTTTAAAAAAATATAATGATTTTCCTCAAGATTTTTTATAATGTTTTCCTCAATTTATTCTTTGAAATATATTGCAATGAAATTACTTTCTCGTTACGAGTATTTTCTGTCTAATCAAATTAAAACACAAAGAGCTGTTTTAGAAGAAGATAATTTCTCATTAAGTATCTACTTAATCCCACCAAAAACATTCTGTAAAAAAACTAGCCAAGTCTCGATGGAGCTGCTTGTTTATCTCTAAAAAGTAATGAAATCTAGACAAAGTCGTGCCAAGTCTATGGTTCCTTACTGCGATTTCTTTATTATTATAGTTAATGTTGTGTGACTTGGCCGTTGAAGGGTGACAAAACCAGGTGCTCCATGACACCATTGCACCAATCTGTCGCCAGAACCGCTACCCATTGACGATGGAAAATTGCCACTTGGAAAACGTTGGTTCAACAATAACCAGTCAATTGTGGGTTCAGTAAAGCTGCGTATTTATAATGTATGATTATTTTAATAAAGATTGTTCAACGGCCAAGTCACACAACATTAACTATAATAATAAAGAAATCGCAGTAAGGAACCATA